CTTGAGCCACAGTGCCACTTCTGGCTTTTTTCTTTTTGCTTATGTGGTGCTGAGGAATCGAACCCAGGGCCTCAGGCATGCAAGGCAAGCGCTCCACCACTGAGCCACTTTCCCAGCCCTGATGTCAAATTTTTTAACTTTTGTTTTTTAGCAATTTTTGATTTACAAAGAAATTGGGAAGATTGTATAGAGAGTTGTCATATTCCCTACCATATCAGTACATTATTATTAACTGAAGTCAATAGCTAATTAATATTTCCTGTTGTACAATGTCTGTTTTCTTTTCCAGGATCCTATCTAGGACACTACATTACTTCTACTGTTCAAGTTTCTGTAGACTACTCAAGGCTATGACCTTACCTTCAATTCCCCATTTTTGATGGCCTTGTTTCTGGAGTAATGTTCAGTAGGTTTCTTTCTTACCAGAGTAAGATTTTAATGACGTTTATGTAGTTGTACAAGGGTGCTTCCATTCACCAAAGGAGTTTATGTGTGTAGTGTATCTTGATCAGTGTCACCCCTTCAACATTCAGGTATAGATTTTTGAAATAAGGACTTTTTTTTTTTGAGATAAGGCTTTGTTGTGCCCAAACTGGTTATCTTCCTGCCTCAGCTGCCAGAGCAGCTGGAATTACAGGCATGCATAACCACACCCAGCTTGTAAAGATATTAGTTTTATTTCAAGCTCTCAAATGTACATAGTTAACAGCCTTCACACCTGTTCATGTTGATCTCAGTCACTTGGGCTGAATAGTATTTGTGTGTGTGTGTGTGTGTGTGTGTAGAAACTGGGGTTTGAATTCAGGGCCTGGGCATTGCTCAAGGCTTGCACTCTGCCACTTGAGCCACAGCTCTACTTCCGGGTTTTTTGCTGGTTAATTGGAGATAAGAGCCTCAAGGACTTTGCCCATGCTGGCTTCAAATCATAGTCCTCAGATCTCAGCCTCCTGAGTAGCTAGGATTACAGACATGAGCCACAGAGAGCCCAGTTTGTCAGTTTCTAAATTAGAGTTCATCAGTTTCTCTACTGCAACCTTACTTCTCTTTTTCCTTTTTATTTGGTGCGTTCCAAAGAAATCGCTAAGTACAGCCCACATCAAGCACTTATTGATTTGTTCACTTACTGTTGAGACCAATTCTCAGTATTTAGTTCAGGCTGGTCTCCGATTCGTGATTCCCTATCCTGGGCCTCTCAGTACTGGGATTACAGGATAAATACCTACACTGGGCGAACTTGGTACTCTCTGAGGTGGATCATGCCTACGTTGGCCTTCCTATCTTCTGGAGGCTGGCTTTGAGGTATAGAAAGTCTCTGATGGTTAATGTTGTCCTTCCTTATTTGACAATCAAGAGCCAGAGAGGCAGAGCGGGGCAGTGCCTGGCCTAGGGTCTCCCGGCAAACCCCGCCCCGCCCAGGTCAGTGCCTGGGGTTGGCCCTGGGGCAGGAAGGCAGGTACATTTCCGCTCGCTGCCTGGCCTTGAGCTCCCTCCAGGTGGCAGGGCTGGCAGGTGGAGCCGCCCCCAGGATGAGCCTGACCCCAGCGCCTCGCAGCAAGCCGTCCAGCCCGCAGCCCCGGAGCCCGAGGCCGGGCCCGCACACCGTGAGTGCGCGCTGCGCTGCCCCACGCTGCCTGCGCTCCTGGCTTTCATCTGCGCGCGCCCCGGGCGCTGCTCCCGGCGCGCTCTTCCCTCCGCCGCCTGGGCTGGGGGCCCATTTTGTCTTCACCGACCCTCCTGCTTGCACGGCTCTGCTCCCCTCCCCTCGATCTCCAGTCGGCTCTGTGCAAACTCTTAATTTGCCCTTTTTCTTACTTGGCCGCCTTTGGCTCCTCCTTCTCCTCTTGGCCTGTTTAGTTCCTACGTGTCTGTCTGTCCTCTCTCTCCACCTGACTTGGTATTGTCCAGGGCTCTATCTCAGCCTGTTCCTTTTTCCTGCCCGCACTGAGAGAAGCCAATCCAACCAGCCCGGCCAAACTACGATCCCATCATTCCCTTTCCAGCCGGCTCTTGCCCACAGTGGGCCTGAGTCCTGGTTACCCCCTTCCCATGGTTGAGGTGAGTGGAGTTGGGGATGTCACCAAACCCACTGGGTTCACATCTGGTGAATGCAAAGCCAATAAGCACAGCCAGGAGGAAAAGGAGTAGTGGATAGATTTATCTGCCGCAGGTGAATGGAACACTTATCTGCAGAGCAATTCTCTCCCTCAACAAAAGATCCATGACATTTTTATTTAGGGAGCCGATGCTATTCATATAAGAAAGCAGGTGTTAAGGACACATTTTTTGAGCATGCTCAGTTTAAAGTCATAGCTCATAGGTCTAAAAGGATGAATGGAGAATATACTTCTGGGCATGTTTAGTTCAGTATTCTAATAAGCCAGTTTATTCCAATTACCAAAAAGAATGAGTCAGAGGGCCTAATTAACTCTGGTGGGCTTCTCACAACTTCATGCAGAATTTTAGCTTAAAAAAACGATTTTTTTCCGGTCTGTCATGGGGCTTGAACTCAGGGATTGGGTGCTATCCCCTGAGCTCTTTTGCTCAAGGCAAGTGCTCTACCACTTTGAGCCATAGCCCCACTTCCAGTTTTCTGGTGGTTAACTGAAGAGTCTCATAGGGACTTTCTTGCCCAGGCTGGCTTTGAACCATGATCCTCAGATCTCAGCCTCCTGAGTAGCCAGGATTACAGGTGTGAGTCACCAGCACCCAGATTTTTTTCTTTTTTTTTGGTGGCACCTGAACTCTGGGTGCTGTCCCTCAGCTCTTCAGCTCGAGTACTGATCTACCACTTGAGCCACAGTGCTACTTCTGGCTTTTTCTGCTTATGTGGTACTGAGGAATTGAACTCAGAGCCTCATGAAAGCACTCTAGAGGCAAGCACTCTACCACTGAGCCACCTTCCCAGACCAAGATTTATTTATTTTAGAACAACTTTGCCAGTTGCTGGTAGCTCACCCCTGTAATCCTGGCTACAGAGGAGGTTGAGAGCTGAGGATTATGGTTCAAAGCCTGCCCAGGCAGACAAATCCAAGAGACTTTTATCTCGTTAATCACTAAAAGGCTTGGAAGTGAGCTAAGGTTCAAGTAGTAGAGCACCAACCGTGAGGGAGAAAACCTAAGTGTGGTACTAAGTTAAAGCTCCAGTACTGGTAAACAAACAGATAAGGACATGTGGGCTTTGGGCAGAATGGGAGCATGGAGAACACATTGGTTCTTTTAAAGTTGCCAGCTTCACATTTAATTGCCTGTTTTATGGAGGTGACCTCAGAGTTAACCAACCAGTCCTACCAAGGGGCTGTGAAGTTTGTGAGAGATGGAAGGAGTCATCGGTTTCAGGCTTGTTTTTCTCAGCTGTATTATTTGGCTGCTGTCAGGATGCATCTTCTCCTCTGCTTTCTCCCCTTCATCCAGCCAATCTGTCCCCTGGGAGAAGCTGTTGTCATGGCAACTCAGCCCTCTTCCCCCCCCCCCTTTCCCTAGCAGTTTGGTTGCATTTGTCTCTTTTCATTTCAGTGCAGCACTTTAATGGTAGCAGTAGAGCCCACAGACCAGTTGAGAATGGGGTCATACCTACATCATCAGCCTAGATAACACTCCAAAGCCCTGTTGCCATCGCTTACCTTGCAATGACTTGTGGTAGATCTCCAGATCAGAAGTCCAACCTTCCCAGTACCACTGAACATATTTTTATTATTTTTCCTGCAGCAGCAGCCATCACATCCCCTAGGAAACCTGACAACTTTCAACACATCCACAGAGACAGTCAACATCTCCTACCCTTGAATCTTCCTTTGCAACACCCACATATGTAAGCCACCCATTGTTTCTGCTCCTCTGTGAGCTCTTAGAAGGCAGAGGTGTCCTTACATTTTCCATAGTGAATAAGCCAGCAAGGAAATAAGGTAATTTGTAAAATGGCCAAGCTTTGGAGGTCAAGGAATCTGAGTTCAAATTCAGATGTTATCCCTTTAGTTGCTGGTTGGTCTTGGATAACTTTCTTCACCTTTCGTTTCCTCATTGATAAATGGGCATTTCATGCATTCTACTAGGCATGTGATGAGGATCAACTTAAATGCACTTAAGATACTGTGCAGTTATTAGACTGTATAAGTGGGGTGTGTGCCCCACTCTGGGTGTGTGACCTATCTCTGGGTCCCAGGAACCTGACACACTGTACAATGTAAGCACATGCATATTTTATACAGTAAGTGAGTGGAAGTTTGTAAGAATAATGACAGAGATCACCTCATGTGTAATAATCTTCCTATGATCTGATGTTTCTTTGCAGTGCTAGACATTGAACCATGGCTTTAAATATGTGTGGCAGCACTTAACATTTTTGTTGTTGTGGTGGTGGTGGTTTGTTGTTTTTTATTTGGTTAATTGGGGATAAAAGTCTTGTGGACTTTTCTGCCCCATCTGGCTTCCAACTGCAATCCTCAGATCTCAGCTTCCTGAGCAGCTAGGATTAAAGATGTAAGCCCAGCTCTGGACAGATCTTGAATCAAACTGAAACCTCTTTTTTTTTTTTTTCTCCTTAAAATGCCCACATTATGGAGCTGTGTAGCTCAAACTGAATCCTTTTGAGATGAGATACGTATCATGGAGGTGGCACTATTGGTTCACCCTGATGTTTGTCCCTGTCTCCCCCTCTCCCCCCCTCCCCGCACTGCTCTCCCCAGATATCCGCTGTCGTGGAGCTGAATGTTGGAGGGCAGTTCTACACCACCACCATGAGCACCCTGAGAAAATTCCCGGGCTCAAAGCTGGCGGAGATGTTTTCCAGCTCAGCCAAGGTGTACTTAGATGCGGAAGGGCGCTTCTTCATCGATCGTCCCGGCACCTACTTCAGTCCCATCCTAGACTACCTGCGCACGGGGCACATGCCCACGGAAAACATCCTGGAGGTGTACCACGAGGCTCAGTTCTATGAGATCCAGCCTCTGGTCAAGCTCCTGGAGGACACGCCGCAGATCTTCGGGGAGCAGGTGGCTCGGAAGCAGTTCTTGCTGCGAGTGCCGGGCTATGGGGAGAACCTGGAGGTGCTGCTGCGCCTGGCGCGCGCCGAGGCCGTGGGCATGCGCACCTCGCGCGTGGTGGTGTGCGTGGTTCGCACGGACGAGGAGGCGGCCCAATGTGGGGACGCCCTGAATAACTTAGAGGCCAAAAAGGTACCGGTTGTTAGGTTTGGGCCCTGGAATGTGGGCCCCGACATTGAAGACCTCCTGTACTGTGTGGAGAAGGACATTAAGGCTCAGGGGTACCAGGTACATAGCCAAAAGTACTTCCTAGAGAAAGCATCCTGGACCAAGCTCCAGGGATGTTTCCGTATGTTCACTTTCACCTGGTGGTGAACCCGGGTGTGGGGGGGGGAGGGGGGCGGGCACAAGCGTCTTTATTAGGGGCTCTAGTGGGACTTAGGGGGAAGTCAAAAAGTTGCCATCAAAATCCATTTTTTCTTTTATTTCAAAAATAAAACATCTTCCAAGGTTGATTTACAGCCTGTCCTCAAATGTTTACTCCCTTCCTTCAGGACTTTCAGCTCACTGTAACTGACCCCCACTCTGCTTTCCTAGCAAGCCTCAGCTGCTGCTCCTTCAAAACCTCAGGTCCATTATTAGACCTCCACCCCTCCCTTACCCTCCCCTGCCCTACCCTCCCTTCTTCCCTCTCCTTTTCTATCCCCCTCTCTCCTCTCCCTCCTTTTCTCTCCTCCTGTACTGGGGCTTGACTTCAAAGCCTGGGAGCTATCCCTGAGTTTTTTGTACTCAAGGATAGTGCTTTGTAAGCCACCAGTGCCAGGCTATTATCAAATAGCTTAAAACAAACAAACAACAATAAACCCAACAGGATGCTTAACCCTGGTGTTAGCGGCTCATGCCTTTAATTCTAGCTACTCAGGAGACTGAGATCTAAGAATCAAGGTTCAAAGTCAGCCTAGAAAGGAAAGGCAGTGAGACTTATTGCCAATTAACCACTTAAGAGCTAGAAGTGGAGTGTGGCTCAAGTGGTAGAATGCTAGTCGAGCAAAAAAAGCTCAGGGACAATGTCTAGGCCTGAGTTCAAGCTCTAGCTCTGGCGCGCGCGCACACACACAAGATGTCTGGGTTACATTCCTAGAGAGTCTAATTTAACTGCTTTGGCATGTGGCTTGACCCTGAGGCTTTAAGAATTCCACTAGGTATTTCTAAAATTCATCCAAGCCCTGCTCAAGTATTCTATTTAGCATTCTCTCTTAGTCTATAACATTCCCTTTCCTTTTCCCTTAATTTTGATCCAAAATCATTTGAGACATTAATTCCGTGTTTACTTGACCTAAGGATTTTTTTTTTTTTTTGGTCCATCATGGGGCCTGAACTCTGGGCCTGGGCACTGTCCCTCAGCTCTTCAGCTCAAGTGCTCTACCACTTGAGCCACAGTGCCACTTCTGGCTCTTTCTGCTTATGCGGTGCTGAGGAATTGAACCCAGGGCCTCATGCATGCAATGCAAACACTCTACCACTGAACCACCTTCCCAGCCCTGACCTAAGGATTTTTCAGATTCCTTGTGCCATCAATGTCTTCTCCAGTGGCTTCTAGGAGTCATTAGGATTGATGGTGTTACACTGGTAGTATAAATCCTTGCTGTCCCAGCCACCCCCCTCTCTCTTACCCACATCATCACCCTGCTCCAAGCTAATCAGAACTCTGGATCATGGCTCAAATTGTTGTTGAATATTTTAGGCTATAGTTTTCCTAGGGTCTATGGGGAACTACAATCAATAGATTTTATTGGTGGAAATTTTATTTCTTTTTCACTCTGCCAGGTCATGATGGATACTTCATGACAGATGCTCCATGCTAATACCAGATGTAATAATTGTCAATACTTAACGCTTGAGGAATAGATAGATAGATAAATAAGTTCCCAACTAGCTACTACATGTGACTATTATCTGAGCAGAACTTTGGTATGTCTTGAAGGGGTCTTGTACTGAGCAATTAGTGTTATAGCTACCTCCTTGACCAGATTTGCAGGGCTGTCTCTACGCCTGGGAACTATGATGCTTTCCAGTCTAATCTCTGATCAGGGAAAGTAAGTATTGCAAAGTCCTCTCTTACATTGACCTTGGACTTGGCAATATAAATTGTTTACCAAGGGAATATCAACCAATGTGGGTTAAGTGAAGACTTGATCATCATTTTGTAAATGAGGATTGTTCTCTTAGAATAGTTCTACGGTTCTCAAAGATAGCCAGGTTAGCAGAGTGTGCAAGTACACACTGGTAAGTCCCAGCTATGCACACTGAGGTGGGAGGAGCATTTGAGCCCAGGAATGAGAGTAGGCTAGGGAACATAGTGAGACCCTGTGTGGTATGTAAAAGAGAGGGGGGGGGGTGAAAGGGAGAACCAAAGAATGAAAGGACGGAAGGGAAAGAAAGGAAAGAAGGAAGGAAGGAAGAAAGAAAGAAGGAAGGAAGGAAAGGAAGAAGACAGGCAAGCAGGCACGCTCTTAGGTTATGAGAAGGGGATCTGAGGAAGCCACCTTGGACTAGCCAATCCAGCTGAATTAAGTGATACCATGACTGGACACCTGAATCCAATCCAATTACAGAATTATGAATAAATAACTATGTCTTAAACCTCTGTGTTTTGGAGTGGTTTGTTATTCAGTAATAGATGACTAATATACATCATTTCAGGAAACTTTTCCAGGAGTCCCACTCTATGACATGTGTTTAGATTCTTTTCACCAGATGGCCACACCTTTTGTATATTTGTGCTCTCTAGCACAAATGTGTACACATTACAAATCCCTAACATATTTTCATTCCTTGAGAAAAAAATAGCAGATTGGAATTTCTGTATAAGGCAGAAGTCCCAGTATATGGAACTTATATATATGGCAAAAATTGCTTATTACATCACCAATATCTTCTTCTTTCTTTCTTTATTTTTTTGCCAGTCCCAGGGCTTAAACTTGAGGCCTCAGCCCTGTCCCTGAGCTTCATTTGCTCAAATCTAATGTTCTACCACTTAAGCAACAGTGCCATTTCCAGCTTTTTCTGTTTATGTGGTACTGAGGAATTGAACTCAGGGCTTCTTGCATGCTAGGCAAGCACTCTACCACTGAGCCACATTCCCAGCCCCTATGTTTTTTTTTTAAACTCATGATCATAAGGAGAGACAATATTTGTTTATGTTATCATTTGAATTTGCAGAGCCCCATGAAGACCCCAAGTGATAAAGTCTTGGTCCCAAGCTTGACCCTGTTAGTGTACAGCTTTAGGGGTGAGGCTTAAAGAGGAAAGTCATTAAGAGTATGTCCTCAAAAGGAGCTGTGCAACCCAAGTCTATTTTTTTTGGGGGGGGTCCGGTCATGGAGCCTGAACTCTGGGCCTGGACACTGTCCCTCAGCTCTTAAGCTCAAGGCTAGCACTCTACCACTTAAGCCACAGCGCCACTTTCGGCTTTTTTCTTTTTGCTTATGTGGTGCTGAGGAATTGAACAGGGCCTCAGGCATGCAAGGCAAGCACTCTACCACTGAGCCACCTTCCCAGCCCCCAAGTCTATTCTTTCTCTCTTTCTTCCCCACCATGGAGTAAGCAGTTTTTCTGTTTTACACATGCCTGTCGAGAATTGGTGCTTCACCCAAGCAATGGAGTCATGTATTGAAATCTCTAAAACTGTAAGCCAGAATAAACCTTTTCCCTTTATAAGTTGATTAGCTAAAGTATGTTATATTAATGGAAAGAGGACTAAGGCACGTATATATTAAGAAGCTATTGGGGTTAGGAGTGTGGCTTCGGTGGTAGAGTGCCAGCCATTGAGCAAAAGCATCCGTAATGAGTTCTGAGTTTGTCTTAGACAAAAAGAAGGAGGAGGAGGAGGAGG